TGGGTCAGGCGTCCGAGACCCTCCGTGGCAGGGCGAGGCCTAGGGGCCATTCGGGGGACGCCACGACCGCCCCCGGGAACAGTACAGGTGAGGCAGGACCGCGGGGCGCGATTCGGTCTCTGCGCCCTTTTCCCAGACGGGGGGCACCGCACACCCCGGGAGGCGGGGGTTCATCTACCGCCTGGGAGACACCGCACAGCTGGCGGGGGTGGGTGGCGGTGTGCACTGCCTAGGGGGCGCACTGCCTAGGGGGGCGCACTGCCTAGGGGGGCGCTCTGCCTAGGGGGGCGCACTGCCTAGGGGGCGCACTGCCTAGGGGGGCGCACAGGGGACCCACAGCGCGCGCGGGGCGGGAGACCATGATGGGGGGAGGCACAGAGAGGGAGACCAGCTGAGGGCGCACTTCCCCAACCCTCTCCATCCCGCGGGCGTCCCTGGGGACCGAAGGCTGGCGGTGGAGGCCAGACTCCTAGGTGCCCAGGTGCGCGCCCTTTCCTGTGGGTCGTGGGCGCCCCGGCCGTGCTGGGGAAGTCAGCAGACGTGAGGAGATCGGAACTAGCCTCGCCTTGCGGGGAGGTGCCCTGGTTCCTGTCTAGCTCCCAGCCCCCCTTCGCTGTGGGGAACCCGAGCCTGGGGGGAGCGACAGCCGGGGGGTCCCGCGGACGCCGGCCGGCCTGGAGGCTCAGGGTATCCTTAAGGACCGGAGCGGAGGGCTGGCTTGGTGTTTGGTTTCGAGAATGATCTGAAGAGGGTTCACCTTCGTGCCCTGGTTCTGGGGTAGGAAGGCATCTGAAGCTCCAATGCCGACTTTGTCCCATGAAGGCACCTGAAATCTAACCCTTTTAGAAACGGAATCAAGCCCGGACCACGCGCCCTGGATGCCCCAGAGCAGTGGTTCTCAGCCTTGGCTGCACATTAGAATCACCTGGGAATCTCTTTAAAATCCTGATTTCTGGGACTCATCCTCCGGAAATTCTGTTTCTTTGTCATGGGGTGGGGCCACAACATTAGTAACAAAGAAACAGAATTTCCGGAGGATGAGGCCCAGAAATCAGGATTTTAAAAAGATTCCCAGGTGATTCTAATGTGCAGCCAAGGTTGAGCCACAGCATTGTAACAAAGAAACAGAATTTCCGGAGGATGAGGCCCAGAAATCAGGATTTTAAAAAGATTCCCAGGTGATTCTAATGTGCAGCCAAGGTTGAGAACCACTGCCCCAGAGGCTCACTGTAGACGCTGAGGCGTCTCGGTACCTATGCCGCGCTCGGCAGGATGGGCCCAGGTCAGCCTGGGTGCAGCTGGTCCCACTTACA